GGTTCTTACACGGAATCCATATAAGAAAGACCACGGTCTGCATAACTAGATAACTAGTTAAACGTAATGGCTTAATAGTTGCTTGGCCCAAGGACTCCCAGCCTTCGGATGATCCTACCCCTTGCACCTACAGCTCTAACGTGAAAGGGGTGGCGTAGTATTTTAGGCAGTATCTATATTTTTATCCTTATGCATAAGCTTAGCAATAAATACGCCATAAGCAAAGAATATATATTCATTACTGAGATGTCTGGTTGGTTTTGCTTGACGACTATTCCCAATCGGGTAATATTTCAGGTAAAGTGTAAGTTTGAAGGAACCTAATTTCTACCACGGTATTTAACTGGAGAGGATTCCGTTCATCGGACGAAGGAATGTTTGTGCAGACATTTTTAGCTTTTTTTGTTGCAATCGTCAATTCATATTCACCCTCCCGCCCGGGGAATCTTCCAACGTGGACTCCATGACATACTTTTCAGCCAATCAGAGCACGCATTTATGTCTAGCCATTGGCGCTATACCTCATTCGGCAACTTGTCGAGTAAATCAAGTAAAGCCGAGTAATGGAAGCAGGGTACTTTGCTTGGCTGACCGGGAGTCCTTACTTTGCTTGGTTGACAAGTATCGAGCAATCACAACCAACCAAGTCAAGTTACTTGGTTGTTGGACACACTGAGATCAGAAGCCTCCTCAAGAAGGTCTCGGTTCGCAATCTCGTTTCCTGCAGCATTGATCCATCCGTTTTTGGTCCATTTGTAAATCCAGTTTGGCATACAGTCAATCGCATATCTGGAATCCGAATAGATCCTGACATTTAAATATGGATTTGTGTCTAGCTCGTCAAACTTTTCCAGGGCTGTCTCCAGTGCCACGATGATGGCTGTGACTTCGGCCCGCTGGTTTGTGGGTGGGGGATATTGGGGTAAGGATTTTGTCCAAGCCTCGTAGGTTCCATTTCTTTTCTTCAAAGCGGCGGCAGCAGCTCCTATTGCCCCCGGTTGTCCGTTGCCTCTACAGCCACCGTCGGTATAGATTTCCATGATGTAAACCATGCTTGGCGAGGCGGCTAGCGTTGAGAGGATGCGATGTTCCGGTGTTGCGCATGCACAAATGTGTGTGGTTGGGAGGCTTCACTGCCTCTCTCGGGAGCCGGCAAGTATCTGAGTTCTATGGGACCTACCCCAGCAAGGTCGGGCTATCTATGAAGAACTGAGTACGCTATACCTAATCGGTTAGACTCTTTACCAATTCAATTGGCTTAAGGTGGATCTCTTGGAACTGGATGCTTGAATGCCACTTTACGCGTGTCGCGTCCTGGCCGCGTCGGGTTCGAATAGTGCATGCACTCGGACGATATCTAGATTGCTGCATTAATTATCCGTGTCTCGCTTTCTCACTGAACAGTTGGGTCGGTCTTGAAACGGGGCACCCATGCGATGCCTCAGCTTTATTGACTTGGTTGCTGCAGCCAGACGTGCGCCGTCCCGAATTGTTTGGTGTCTGCCTGGCCCCTGTCACACAGCACGATTGTTTCAGACAGCTTGGACAAAAAAAAGAGAGACTCTTGATTTCCTATCTGAAAGAGCGGAATTATACGAAATTAAATACTTCTTGGGGAAACTGCTCCGCAGGCAGCAGTATTACAATTTCCTGTTGCCACTTGCCACTTGCCAGTGACAAGTTGCCACCTAGGCAAAGTTGCTTGCGGGTTCTTGACGGTGGCAGCATTATGCTTGAATGAATGAGCGACCTGATCTTGACCGCCCCGGTGCTGGACCCTCACACTAACATCTCATCACGAATCTGTGACCAATGCAGCGCTAAGGTACTGTACTAGGAGAGTAAGATTAATTACGCCCATTCAGTGCAATTGAATTGAACGCTTTATTCAGTTGAGACGCCATACATACCCATGTGTTGCTCTCACACCTGCTTGACCAGTAGTGCTCGGGAAAGAAGCCAAAAAGTCCTCTTAATCCACTCCAGCCCCCCCTCGCTCTCTCCTATTCCGCCCGCGTACAGTGCCAGAAGCATGCAGAAGGCAATGGATTAAGACCGTCCCTATAGCAATGCACAACAGTGATTGCAATTCTACTCCACCATCGTGCGTTCGCTGTTCTCATACATTCTGTATTTTTGCTGGCGAGATCCATTCCTTGGATTGGCGCAGCCGATGCCGTCACATCAGACATCGTCCCCAGCATGGGTTAGCTTATCGACGACACCAGCGCTTCAATACACACGCTATCGGTTCATAAAGCTCGGCGACGAAACCTCCAAGCAAGAGCCACCGTCTCCATGTCGTCGGCCGGCCACCAGAAGGATGCGCGGCAGGCCGGCGAGCGCTGTGCCTCTTCAGCAGTTGCCTCCGAGTCCGATACTGACTACAGTTTGGGCTGGCTCGACTCTGACCCCGTTGACCCGGTTGTCGCAGCTCTATCGAGCAGAGAAGCGCGGAACGAAGCTAGCGTAACTACCTCTCTCGCCGCGCAGCGGCCGCATGCGTCGGCCGATGAACAGGTCAAACCGCTGCAAATCGCAGGCAGTGGTGTCCAGCCACACGAGAACCCAGGAGACTCCTCAACTCGGGGGGGGGAACGGTTCGATAACGCCGAACCCAACCTGTGCCAGGAGCAGCAAGACGTGGTCGATCTGATTGCCAGCGGTCGCAACGTCTTCTTCACAGGTTCAGCAGGATGTGGCAAGTCCACCGTCCTGAAGGCTGCTGTTACGAGGCTCCAAGCCATGGGACTAATCGTCCACGTCCTGGCGCCAACCGGCCGGGCAGGGTCAGCGGTGTGTCGACGTGGTCCTACATGGGGTGGACGCCCGATCACCACAAGCTTCCGATAGGGAAGCTGATAACTTCAGCGTTCCGCAAGCACATCCGGCGACGTCTCAAGAGCACCGACGTGCTCATTATCGACGAGATAAGTATGGTCGAGAACCACCACCTGGAGCGTATGAACGTCTGTATGAAGGAGGCCAGGCGATG